CTGCACACCAACCGGACGTAAATATACACATGACATTACATACAACTTTGTGTTTTGATGATAACTTTTGCAGCAGTGGTCCTTAAAGCACGACCGGCTTCATCCAAGCACGATCTTCCGGGGTATACACCTCTCCATATCCCGTCAGTTTCAGTGGGACCCTTCTAACCAATGCAAAATCGCTAACGACCACTTCCAGTGTTGATCTAAAACTTTATATAAACAGTATGAGGGAAGTAAGGGTAAGGATGGGCACTATGGCACTGAGAGGCTACTTATACGCCGGAGGCTTACTCTATTTTATTTTGGGGCAGATCTTGGCCTCAATGCTTATTTCCGCTTGTCGCTCCTAAACAACTCGTTTCAGTGCCCAGAAATTTGGTGATTTTTAATGCAATCTGTACGTAAGTGTTACTCCCAATTTTAAAAAAATCGGTCGCACAGAGGCGTTATGCAATCGCAATCGTTTTTGGTAGACGGATTCCTTTGCCAGGTGGGTGTCAAATGCAAGAATGTAAGGCACTCATCAGTGTATTTTGCAGAAAAATAAAGGCACCGTTTATAGCCATATACATCCTACAGTCTTACTGTGTATGCAAATTTGCTGATAGAGGTAAACTCGGGTACTGAAAAATGTGGAACACATCCCTGCATTGCCGACAGGTATTGTAGTGTATATTGATTGTGCATCGTGTTATTTGCCTATTTGCATGTGCCGCCGGTGTATATTGAAATCCTTCCCTACTGCGGGTGTTGCGTCAGGACATGACAACAAGAAGATTCGCCACAGGCGGTTCCAGGCGCCCATCTCGGGGGTGCGTCTCTGTTGCCTTAGGCTAAATGAAAACGAGTGAGTGCAGTAGAGCTACTTCCATCATATTTGGGAGATAAATAAAGGCAGAAAATTTGGTCATACAGTCGTTTGCATGCCCCATGTTGACTATGTATCATTAATATTTGGCAAGATCGTGTTTAGGCATCCGAAGATGGAAGAGTCAAGCAGGGGCCCGGAAGAAAGCGATGCAATGCCGCTTACTCCTGATTTGTTATCTGTAACCATTTCCGTGTAATGCACGCAACATCACAAACCATCCAAAGTAAGCTAGAAATGGTATGCATTTATCTTTTTAACCGTCACTTTGTTTTTAAATCCCATAAAAATCATATAAAATCTAATTTCGTTTTTCAACTCCGAGTATATGTGAGATCCACACTTTCCAAGCATAACTTCGTTTGTCCAATCACTTTGGTGGTTCCTAAACATAAGCACGTTGCTGTTTCCTAAAATATCCAAACTAGCAGTACTTCACAAACCACTACTTGATTCATTAATTTTGGGTAGCGTAGAAAAAAGATGCTGCTCAGGCCAACTGAATGGCGTTTGTCCCATCAAAATTGGTTGTGCGGTTCCAGAGACCTCCGGGACAGCAAATATCCCTACACTCTGCAGGTTAACGTTTATCACTCACAGGCTGCTGAGAGTAAGAATCAGACGTTTTCCACCGTACTGCCCTACATTAAGATACGCTAGCAAGTTCGTTTACGTGGATGAGGAATTTGATGCATACTTTTAAAATGGCATGAATCGGAAAAGGAACAGTCTTTTATGATGCAGCACGCGTGTTAGTGCGTAAGTCTTAGATTCGGGTTGAGGTGGAGAAGATAGACCAAATGGTTGGTGAAATGAATTGCCAGCGAAACAAAACTAAAATAAAAACAGGCTAATTAGGAGGATATTATGTAAACTTTTATGCATGGAGGCTAAACTTTTAGAATGTTTCCAAACTTAAAAAAATCATTTTAAAGCATTCGAGGTGTACTCTGCAAGTATGCGTAATCGCACATACCGACAATGACCAAAAATGGCCATCTACCAGGGATTTTCATATCAAAACATAGCTAGCAAGCCATGCATATTCGATATCAGGACATATTTCTGACCCAAGCTAAGTGAATGTACGTCGAATATAAGTTGCATAACTGACTGACAGCTAAGTGGCAGTGCCCAACACATAAACTCATCTTCGCAAAGAGTAAAGGCCCGCAAGCAGCAATGACCACCATCTGCTCCTTCTGAGAGGCGGCGAACAGCTGTATGGAGCCTTCAAGACATTTAGTGCAGGTCACAACACACAACATGCGTATTTCAGTCATCCGGCAAGTCCGGCCATGCGGTATAAGTAATTCGATTTGCTCCATATAGTACAAAAAGCCACTAGCATGTCAATAACTCGGTCGAATAACAAAACCGTTCGGCGTTGACAGCGTCACGGGGGCCCGTAATCCAGTAAGCCCTATAACTCCCCTAGCAATGAAAGCACCCAATGAAGCAAGGGCGCGCCCGCGGGGGCGGCACATGCCTATCTGACCTGGCCAGGTATGGTCGTGTCCCCTCGGTGACCGGTGGCGCCACCTGCACCCGTTCTCTCCTCCGCCCGGCTCGAGCCACTTGCTGCCTGGGTCTGGCGAGTAGAGGATATCCGCCGCCGGGTCCCCACGCGCGTGGCCAGCCCGGCTCCACTGCCCCCGCCCCGCTCCCGCCCGGGGTGTGCGTCAGCGTGTCAGTGTCGCCGGTGGTGTCGCGCTCAGCGTCGGACTCGCTTCGCCGTGGTCAAGCGTGTCGGACTGCCCCTGCTTCGCGCGTGCGAGTGAACACTGTGCTAGCCGGTTGTGACTCTGCGAGGTCGAACGGTCACACAGACGTCCCAGCGGCGTTTCCCTCGCCGGACCCTGCCCGTGGCTGCACGTGCGACGCTCCGTCACGGCGTCGCACGTGGTCGGGCCGGTGAGGGCGTTCGCACGTGTGCCGCGCGCCCGCGGTCGGTGGCGTGTCCCGAGCCACGTGCTGCCGGCGCCGGCGAGACGGCCGCTGCAGAGCGGAGCGAGGGCGCACAGGGCTCGGTTGGCGGCCTGTGTGGCCGGGCTGCGTTTGAGCGGGTTAACGGCGGTCGGTGTGGAAGGCGACGACGGCGACGGCGGTGTGGTGCGGGACTGCCGGCCGTGCTCGATCCCT